GAATCCAGTGCTCCCCTTGGCCCTCTGGGTACCCCCCATGCAAGAAACCCTGCTACGAGAAGGGGCCAGGCCAGAGCCACCCTCCCTCCTTGACTGTTCTGGTTTTGCATGGAGGAGCTGGGACCAGAGCCCATGTGCCTTAAACCCCAAGGGGGAGATGCTTCTCCTCTGTTCCCACCCCAGGGATGCTCCCAGCCTCAGCCCCTGCCCATGTTCTGCAGGCGCTGTTGTGGAGCATGCGGTCCTACACCCTCATCCGGAGGCTCGAGGGGCACCAGAGCAGTGTGGTGTCATGCGACTTCTCGCCAGACTCGGCACTCCTCGTCACCGCTTCCTATGATGCCTGCGTCATCATGTGGGACCCCTACACTGGGGAGCAGTTGAGGACGCTGCGGTATGGAGCCGGGGGGCCAGTGAAGGACTGTGGAAGGGGGACAGAGCAATGCCATGGGGGTTTGTTGGGGCTGAGCATGGCCTTCCCTTCTAGTTGGGCACAGCCAGCAGCTCTCCCCTGTCTCCGGCCTCTGAAGTGGGACTCTGACTTGCCGGGTTTGGCCCCTCTGCCGGCCCCGGAGCACTGGGGATGGAGGTCATGGCAGCCTGGGGCTGATGCTGGGCTTGTTCTCCCCACCCGCAGCCACGTCCCCTTGCACTCGGCGGTGGACTACAGCAGTGAAGTCCACACCAGCTCCCTGCGCTCTGTCTGCTTCTCTCCTGAGGGCCTCTACCTAGCCACGGTGGCGGATGACAGGTGAGTGAACCCCCTTGGGGACCTCCAGCGGGAAGAGGGTCACAGGAGGACACCACCAAAACAAACCAGGAGCTCAGGACATGCCAGTGGGGAACAGACCTTGCATGCCAGGTCCCCACCAATGCCTGGTGTAAGGGGAAAGGGCAGGCTGCCTGGGACACTGCGGCTTGGCTGTGGCAAGGGGTAGCAAGGTCAGGGCCCCGTGGCCCCTCTGAGCGATGAGCCAGGGCCCGTGTCTTCCTGCGTGCTGTGCTGCCCTCGCTGTGCCCCTCAGCACAGTCACTAGCTCTGTCTGCATCCAGCTCAGCTCTACAGGGGACAGTGCCTCCCGCCTTGCTGCCGTATTGTGACACTCTCGGGATGCTCTAAGCCCATGGGAAGAAAATCCTACTCCAGAGTTTGCATGCATTCAGGTGAACCCAGAGGCTTTATTTTAGCTGCAGGCACTGTGTGGATGTGGGCCTGGCATTGTGTCCCCTCCCTTTCTCCTTAGGCTCCTGAGGATCTGGGCGTTGGAGCTGCGGTCTCCAGTTGCGTTTGCTCCCATGACCAACGGCCTGTGCTGCATGTACTTTCCACATGGCGGTTTCATTGCCACAGGGTGCGTATGTGGGAGAAGAGAGCGGAGAAGCACATGGCTGCTCCCTCCTCCTGCAGCTCTGGGTCTTCTCAGCAAATTCTGGGCTTCCCTGGGGGTGCGGACTGATTTCCTGGGCTGGGGAACATGTGGTTGCTGCAAGTTCAGGATATTTGGGTGTAATTGAGTTTTCTTGTGTCACTCTGCCCCGTGCTCACGGCTTGTTCGGGTTCCATTGCAGGACCAGAGATGGCCACGTCCAATTCTGGACCGCTCCAAGGGTCCTCTCATCGCTAAAGCACTTGTGTCGCAAAGCTCTGCGCACCTTCCTGACGACATACCAGGTCCTCGCGCTCCCCATCCCCAGGAAGCTGAAGGAATTCCTCACTTACCGGACCTTTTAAGGCAGCGTGGAAAGTGGAGGCACGAAGGCGAGAGCCCTCTGCCTGGCGGCGGGGCTTGGCCTGAGTCAGAGGAGGCACCGCAGCAACGACATCTTGCTGATTCGTGAGCTGTGGGGCAGGAGGATTGCTACTCCCCTTGTTTGGGGGCTGTGTCTGTGAATGTGGAGGGATTTTTTGGTATAATTATACTAGAACCCAGCAAAAATGCATGCAGAGGGCACGGGGCGCAGCTGTGGTGGCCCCGCAGGGGACACAGGTCCCCCTGTCCCCCTGCTATCTGCAAGTTTTGGGTCAGGTGCTTTTGCTTCCAAGTGCAATGTTGTGGGTTGAAGGTTAGTAGCCGCAGTCTGAGCAGAGCTTTTGTCATTTGTACGAATACGGGGCTACAACCATCCCTGACAAAAGCAACCCTCACTGGGACCGGCTTGTACTGTAGCTTAGTTCCTGGAGGAGTACGGGCTCTGCCGCTCTCCTGGTCTGGGCACGGGCTGGACAAACCCGAGCAGGTCTCTGCGGACTAGACGACAGCGATGACAGAATAAAAAATTATTCCTCACGTCTTTCCTCTTGGCTCGTAGAGGTGACCTGGGGATCCCTGGCAGGGCAGGCTCCAGTGGGCTGGGGCCCAGGGGCTCCAGCCTTCCTGCTGTGGCTGTCGGGGTGGCAGTGAGTGCTTACTCGGCTCTGAAGTGCAGCAGACCAGTAAGTATTCAGCGGTGGGTGCTGGGGAGGATCAGTCCACTGTGAAGGTGGGACACGGGGCTTCACAGCCCCCAGCTCCCGTTCCTCCGTTGCTTTCCCTCCCTGCTGGAGCTTGGCACTCCAGCAGCCACTGTCCGGACATGCTGTGCATGAAGCAGTCTTGTGTGCTTGTCTCCCTGCAGCTTAGCTGGTGTCTGGAGTGACAGCACGTGCTTTGAGCCCCCTGCATGCTAGAGGGCTCGGTCTGCGCACGAGCCCGAGGCTGTGACCCCAGCTGATGGAGAAGACGGGGAATGTCTCCTCTAAACTGCCCCCCGGGATGTTTTCCCTTGCAAGCAGCTGAACCCAGAAAGCTGGTGTTTCCCTAACATGTACAGGTGTCACTCAGAACTGTGTTCCCTCTTGTAACAGGGGGATGTCGCTGCAAGAAACCGCGCTGGCCCTGCGCAGCTTGCTGTGCATGGCTGCCCCGCTCAGCTACATGAGCGATGGGGTGGCACAAGCCACGGTTGTACTCCTCAGGGCGTGACCGCCCAGGGCAGCTCTGCCCTGCAAGGAAGGGAGGTTTTGCAGGCAGGTGACAACAGCTGAACTTCAGCCTGTGTGGGTGCAACGCCTTTGCAATGTGACAGGGGCAGGGGGTGAGGCTCGACCACCTCCCTTCGGTCCTTGCTGTACAGGAGGGAAAAGACAAGACAAGTGCAACCTGGTGGGCTTTAGAGGCATCTGTATTTCCCAGTGAAGCTTAGAAACAATGCTGCCCGACTCTCACACCCTGGCTGCAGGCTCAAGGCTTGCAAAAAGGAAACAGCTGCAGGGAGCAGCTCCAGGCACGGGGCTGGTGATCCCTTCCAGCTTCTGCGAGATCTGGCTTTGCAAGGATCCACCCGGCAGGACTCAGGCTTCAGCCACGATCAGGTCCCTGGTGACTTGGAAAGCCGCGATGAGGGAGCTCAGCTGAATCTTTTCACTGGTCCCAGCAGCCAGCCGGTACCTGGTGCAGGGGGCAAGGGCAGGTTCAGGTGTTTACACCGCCATCTGCGTTCTGACAAAGCGACAGCCCTGGCTGGGACAGAGCAAGCCAAGCACAGTGCTGGCGGGTTTATGCGGCAGGGGCAGGTGCACAGCGGCTGCCAGCGGTGCCCACCAGCTGCCAGGACTCGGCACAGCGTGGCAGTGGTGACCCCCGTGGGGTGGGCACGCTGACAGCCCCCCAGCTGGGGTGTTTTGGGGCAAGGAGCGGGGGTGAAGGGACACTTACTCGATGTCTGCCATTTTGATCAGCAGCTGAATGCGGACCGAGGGTGGGAAATCAACTGCAGAGAGAAGGAGATGGCGTGCATCAGCGCGGGTGGGGGGCACGGTTGGCCCTCCCAGGGTCAGCCAGGAGCTGGCCCTGCAAGCCCCTACCTCTGTGCACAAACAGGTGGATCTCGGTGAGGATGTCCTGCAGGGCCAAGCCCTTCAGTGTCTTCAGCTCCATGATTTCTGAGATGAGAGCGAGTGAAGGGCTTTCTCCCAGGCCTTTCCCTGCGAGATCCCACCCCTCATCCCCACGACAACCCCGAGGACCCTCCCCAGCGAGCAGCACCCACCCCAGCCGGAGCAGGAGGTCACAGGATGGGAAGCCCTGGCAAAGAGGAGGATTTATAGCAGCGGGGATTAAACCCCAGGGCCAGTGGAGGAAAAAGGATACTGCGATAGGCAGTGGTAAAGTCCTGGTTCAGCATCCAGTCAAGGATGTTGGCAATGTCAGACTTGAGGGGGTGTCCTGTGCAGGTGTAGACGTTCTCCTCCGTCACCTTCCCGAAGGCCATGCTGGTACTCTGAGGAAGAGGAGGGATGAAGAGCTCAGCCCTTCCTCCACCGACCGCTCCAGGGCAGCTGCCTGCGTGGGGCCGACTGCTGCTGGCTTACACAAGGGAGAGCGGCCGCAGCCACAGACCGTACCTGCAAGATGTTGAGGGCTCTACGCATGTCACCACTTGAGAGGGTCACCAGAGCCTTCATCCCATCCTCAGTCACATCCACCCTGGAAAACAAGATCCGGGGCTGCAGAGGGAGCCAGCACTGCTGGAGGGAAATACAACTGTGGAAAACCTGCGTAGGGGAATGGGGAAAAGGGGGCACAGAGGATGCTGTGGAGCACCCCACGTCCCACGTTGCCCCCGGCTCACCCCTCCTCCTGTATGACGTGCTGCAGCCGGGGCACCATCAGCTCCGGGGTGAGGGGGCCGAAGCGGAAGCGTGTGCAGCGGGACTGCAAGGCGGGGATGATCTTGGAGAGGTAGTTGCAGATGAGGCAAAAGCGAGTGTTTTCTGTGAACTTCTCGATCACTGCAAAGAGGAGGGAGGAGAGGCTGGTTCTCGTCTGCTGCCTTGTACAGGCTCCCACCCCACGCCGGGCTGGGCAAGGCTGAAGGGGTGCCAGTGGTGTGGGGTCCCCGGCGCTCCTCACCTCGCCTCAGGGCGTTCTGAGCATCCTGGGTCATGGCGTCAGCTTCATCCAGGATGACGAGCTTGAAGCCTTTCCTTAAAAAGGGAGAAAAAAGGGGGTGGCTTTGGTCCCAGCTGCTGGCTTGCTGCTGGAGAATCGGGAGCGCGGGACACTTATTCGCAGCCTGACCCCCATGAACTTTGCCAGGGAGCCCTCCTTACCTTCCGGACCAGCATCTTTATCATTCATCCTTACCACCCTCATCCTCCCTGCTTGCAGGGCACTCCTGACTCCTTCCCATCCACTCTGGCACGCTTCCTACCCCAGGATCTCCCCCAAACCCACCTTCCAAGCTGGGTGCAGGGGCAGGCTGTGTCAGAGGGCGGATGACAAAGGGAGGGGGAGCTTGGGGAAGCGCAGCCCCGCCACTTACTTAAAGATGGTCCTGGTGCTGGCGAAGCTCAGGATGGGCCCTCGGACGATGTCGATACCCCGGTCATCGGAGGCGTTGAGCTGAAGGGAGATGGCGTGAATATGCATCCCTGCCCAAGGATGCACCCAGGGGTGGGGAGGACCCCACCGTCACCCTCCCCCATGGTATCCCTCCTTACCTCCAGCACCATGGACCCAAACTCCCGTTCCCGGTAGAGCTGCTTGGCGCAGGCGAGGATGGTCGAGGTCTTACCGGTACCGGGAGGGCCATAGAGGAGAAGATGCGGGAGCCGGTCCTCGCTGATGAACCG